CGCGGCGTCGCTGCTCCCGCGTCTCGCGTCCCCACCCCCTCGCCAGGCAATATCGATCGCCGTGCGGTCACATCTCGCCACGCGCTCGAATTGGACAGTGGGCAGGGCAAAGACGACGATTTTTGATAATTAATTACTTGTTAACTATTGCGAAAATTGCAAATGGTTCAGGACTTTTCTGTTCATCTCGATCCGTTCTACCTTCTCACGAGCTGTGGCAGAAATGTTGTGACTCACCCTGTATATTACGAGCCTGTTTATGCTTTCTACGAACTACCAGATGGCGAATATGATACTAACGTAATAATCATAAAATAATATAACAATTGAGCATACATAACAACAATAATTATACCATGATTTTTATTGTTAATAATAATATCTCTTCTTTTAGCACTTTTTTCATTTCTTTTCAAGAAATGAAATAAATAAGAAAACATACTTAAAAAGAAATGGAGAAAGAAGTAAAAATATTGCATAAAACAGTAAATTTATAGATAGATTCTGCTACTTTATAAGAGCAAAAATTTTTATTTTATGTTTGTTTCGTTAACTTCCTTATTTTGTATGTAATAAAATTTTAATTTGGTTCTTATTGTTACTAACAAAAAGCATTATTTGTTAAAATACTTAAATTAAAATTATCGCACAAAAACTTTCATTACATCCAATAATATTGAAAATTATAAAGAAAGATTGTACGTATATAAAAAGGTTGTTTGGTTTGAAATAATTAAGTCAATTAGGAGAAAGAAAAAGGTAATAATTGATTCGGAGAAGAAATTTTAGTTTTATCTTCTATCATCTTTTTGAAATCTATTGAACGTGAAGATGACCTTATTTTGATAGTGCGATAACAAAACCATGCTATGTGTAAACGGAAGTCTACATTAATAAATGTAGATCACTCAATAGTTTTAATATTCTTTAAAAAAATAAAATAAAAATTTTGCAACATAGTATTTTATATACATATAGTTTTCTATAATATATCAAATATAATACTTATTAAAAAATTGATGCATGTTCTCAATACATATTAATTGTTCTGTCATTTAAAAACTAGTACAATTATAAATAAAGATTAATTTTGAAATATGAAAATTTTTGTGATAATTGCTTCTCGGAATGATGTCGTAATTTGTTTCACTGACTGAATTTTATTGTATTTTCTTATTCTTCAGAGGATGAAGGGTTCGTTTATTCGATCGGAAGCCAAAATCACCTAGTGTCGATAAGATCCAGGAAAACTTTGTAAGTAAGAAAACGAGAGTTTTCTACCTAGTTTTCTAACTAGTGACCATTAAATCGTTTTATTAAATCGAGAACATATTTGCTCACTGCAAATAGATCAATCCAAAGCCTCCGTTAACTAGATCTGTTATGTTTGTAGCTTCAAGAAGCGAACGCAGATTTCTAATCTGACGGTGATAATTCTTTGCTTCCTGGTGGGTTCCTTGTTCATAACAGTTGTCGTGCTTGCAGTACTTTGTAAGTATTTTTTCTTTAACTTATCTTATTTGTCATAGATAGAATTATATTCAAGATAAATTAAAGATCCTGACTGGGGCAATATTTTTCGCAATAAATTATTTATAGCTTTCCTAAGTTGATGTCAATTTAATTAAGTATACGATTCCGACTTTAGACTCTGACTGTAAGTTTAAAACGAAAACCCATTCGGCACATAGTCCGCGAAGTTGTGAAAAAGATCCATACAAAAGAAAAATATAATTAGGCATTAATATCCAGCTTGATCGATAGAGACTATCTTCTATTATTATTTATGTTGTACATATATTAAAGATGTATTTAAATTACGTAATATGTATCAAATTTTTATAGGAGAATGTCATATTATTTATATGTTCGATTCTCTAACGAACAACATTTGTATTGTTGAGATAAGAAATGTTGCTTAACGTATCTACTTGCTACAAAAATAATACACTTAAAAAGATAATGCACACAAATTAGAATTAAAGTAAAGATATTTTTAATTTGTTAAATGTCATTGCATTCGTCTATATGTCTCACTATCGTATCTATAATAAGTCCTTCAACTGTGAACTAACTTTATCAAAATTACAGTAGGTATAACCTTAGACAATAGACGTGACAACAGGAAGTACCCTTTAAAAGAAATGACTCAACTCTTACGAGGCTTTAATATATCCCCTTCAATACCTTGCAATTACATTAGATATCCTTGACAAATTATTAGAAAACCATTTAGCATCTTCGATCGCCATTGACATTGTGTAAATATTTTAACAAACATGGGACATGTATCGTGTAACGTAGCGCGTGTGTTCCACGGAAGAACTTTGTATCGCGTGTCCATCATTGTTTTTATATGAGGATCTATAGCGCTCTACGTGAGATTTTTATATATGTATATTATATCAAATCTTCCTTAGATTACCGGGTATCGTTTTAAATATAATTTTCTTAGCAAAATCTGATGTTTTTCTCCATAATAAAAATATCGAGATACCTTTAGTCTTTAATTATACATTTTTATTGAAGTACGTAATTTATTCAAAAGATACGCAAGAAGTGTTTAAACACGCAAACACATACAAGAGTAAATACCAACTAACAGTAGATAACATTAATGTTATTCTTTTCTACTCAACAAACGCAATATATAGCATGTTACATTTATATTGTTGAGTAGAGAGAAAATTGTAATATTAATGTCATGTAACTGTTTGTTTTTAATAAGGAGAGTAAGAAGACTGGGATGTGATTAAATAAAAATAAAATAAGTTACGTTGATGTTTAATTGAAAATTTAAAAATGCAATAAACTTTAGGTGATAAACTGTAAAAAGTTGTCGACAATTCTAGAAATATTTTATACGTATAATACTGTCGTTGCAGATGCACGCAAGAGCATGGTGAAGATATGTGATAGCGAGGATTGCGTGCGAGTAGGTGAGTACTATGCAGTTATTATAATAACTGGTGATTGTATGTATACATATACTTGTGCTATTATTAACGTGAACAAACATGGCGCATAACAATAAAAAGAAAAATGTGTGGCAATCACTACCCTGGAAGCAATTATTTATTCTTCTTTGTTCATCTAGCGGCTAGTTTGAAGGAATCTATGAACGTATCGGTAAATCCTTGCGATGATTTTTATCAGTGAGTAAATTTATTGTGGTGCCGTGCTATTATTGTATGTACAACGAACGTAATTGATGTACACCTCGCGAAATTATACCATTCGCGCAATTTCTCTATCACTCTGCAAATCTATTATTTCTACATGTTACGCAATACTGCATTCGCGCGGTTCACTTTCACTCGCTTGTGTGAGACATCGTATCACGAATTAACGCTACATTCGTCGGAAAACATAACAATTAATATCGTTGTCTTCTTTTAATTATTATTAATCCGCCTGTTTAAAGAATTTATTTAAGCTGCATTTATGATCTTCACGATACGTGAAATTTTCTTCTTTCTCTTTTCTTTAGATATGCATGCGGCAGATGGTCGCAGGAACATCCCGTCCCGGATTCCAGACTGATGAATTCTTGGTTTAGCGAGCGCCGCGACCGCGTAATCGGAAAGATAAGAGATTTGCTAAAAGTCAATATGTCTGCCAGCGAAGTACCCTGGGCAGTGATGCAGGCCAAGACTCTGTTCACCAGCTGCATGGACGTGCGTACGTAATCAGAGACACGTTAATTATAACATAATGTACATATATCACACAAGAAACAGTCCGCAGTAATACGTGTAACTTTTAATTATTTTTAAACTTTTAGAATATTTCTCATAACAAGATAAATTTCAGATACCATAAACGAACTCAATTTGTCGCCATTATTCTATTTGTTGGAGTTATTAAATTTGCCCCTGTTGCCTGCGTTTGTTACTAACACAACGACCAATTACATAGAGCAACTCGCTACGATAAAAAGAACTTTGGGCTACGACGTTTTCTTTGGCTTCGGTCTCATGCCTGATCCTAAGAACAGGAGCAGAAACATAATGGTCTTTCAGTTTCCGGATCATTCCAATCCTTTTCCCGCGTACGTACACTTTTTATTCTACAATTTTTAATTGTTATTACTATTAAGTCTTTTGAAACTTATTTAATACACAACAAATATATGGCAATAAATTGATTATAATAATAATAATAGCGATAAAGAAGTGGAGAAGCGGTTGCGAACCATCAGATCGCAACTACGAAAACGAGGTGATTTAGAGAATGAAGCTATGTTGACCGAGATCGAAGACGCCGAAGTCACCTATATGACTGATGTTATTAAAGAAGTCATCTACAATGGCACTGTTAATGAATGTACCTCGGAAGATGAATTGATAATGGACAATAATGAATTGGAAGAATTTGTTCATATGCTTTATAACCTAAGCAACCTTATTTATTACGTAAGTATTTTCTGGCTAAACTGATTCTAAGTTAATGTCTTCGCGTAGGCAAAAAGTGTTAAAATAAAAATAAGAATTTACTTATTATTGTTTCACGTCTGAAACAAAACGTTCTCCTTAAGATTTATCGGTTTATGCAATGAATGTCACCACCTTAATGGTCAAACTGTAAAGACACTAGTCAGGGATAAGGAGTCCAGGTTCGAAAGTATCCGTCAACTCTGGCTGGGATAATATTTTTCATCTTGAATTCTTTAGAGATTTTAATGGGATGCTTATCGGCATAAAAACATTAAATAGATAAGTGATTTAAATATGTGTATTTGCTGTTCCAACAAGAAATTTTTAAGATCAACAAATAATCGGCGCGCGGTTTCTATCAAGATTCTAAAATGGCATCTTCTCTGATTGACTGTAGAAATAATTTGTTTTGCAGGTAGGACGTGCAGATCAAAATAAGAGTATTTCCTTAGAAAGCTTGAGCGATGACGATTTTCTGATGGTAGACGATTTACAACAGTTGACAGACGAGTATGTAACGGATACTAATTCGTCTTTAACGCCTAAACTGATTTGGCGGCCCTTCATTGAATCCCTTTTCGAAGGTATCGTTACGTTGAATCTTGACAAGGATAAAATTCTCATCGGTAATTTGGATTATATGAAAAAAATGGCATTGGTGTTAACTGTTTACGAGGAGAAAGAGCTGGGTATGTCTTCCTGATTTATATCTACTTATACGTATATAAACTAATTCTAATTAAATTACTTACGCTGTTTTTATTTTGACATAAAAATTTGGCATTCAGTTTTCAAAAAGTTTTCTCAATTTCGATTCAGAAAGCTACATTTGGTGGGCCATTGTGAATATTGTGGTGCCCCACTCGTCCAACAAGCTCAAGGAAATTTGGAACGAGTATGTGAATGAGTTAACAGACGTGGAAGTAGGAAAGTCACAGTCGTTGCTTTGTACGTCAGTTGTCAATAAATTAATGGGTATGTACAACGACTTGGATTAAAACTGGAACAACAAATTTTATAATGTATATAATAAATAAGCTGGCACCTAAGTTTCTCTATAATTTAGATTTAATAAATATATTTTCACGATATATCTTGGATTTCAATTAATGGTGTCTATCATCGACTTGCAGGAATGGCGGTATCACGGCTGTACGTAGATCCCACATTTCACAATAAGAAAGCCAATGAAGTATTGGAAATGCTAGACGATATAAAGGAGGCGTTCGCCTCGCTTGTCATTAATACAGATTGGATGGATCAGTCAACGAGAGAAGCGACACTTGAGAAGAGCCGAAAAATGGAATCCGAAATTGGATTTCCCACGTGGCTCTTCAATGAGAAGAAGCTCAACGAGTATTACGAAGGCGTAAGTCTTGTGAAAAATTAATATACAGTAATAAAATAATCTCCTATAATAAATTTTTATAATAATAGAGGAAGAATCTGCGAAAAATACACATTCAACGTTTTTTTTAATTGTAGAATTTTCATTATACGTACATTAATTTTACTTGAGATAATGCAATAGTATTATTTATGTATTTTGCATAATATTAATCTGTTATAATGTTTAGATAGACCTGTCGGAAACGAAATATCTGGAGAACATGATGCAAATCGTTCAATTGCAATGGAATACCACGTGGACGGGCCTATATGACGATAATTTATTCAACGAGTCATAGTAAGTGAAAAATTGTGAGAATTGTCGTCAATAAAAGTCAATACTGAGGTTTTTGTTTGTCTTCATGCTTCGCTTTATTATGGATAATCAGCTGGGCAACTGACCCTACCGATGTAAATGCATTCCACACGATTCAACTTAATCATATAAGTATGTAATAACTTGATCTCTTGTTGTTAAAATAACACGGGAATTAATTTAACTGTAATACACTTTTAATAATTATTTAGTTGAAAACAACCTGAGATGTTCTCCGGTTGTTATTAATGTTACATTAACGTATATTCTCTCTTTTTTTCACTATTCGTGCAGCCATACCTGCCGGAATTCTTCAATTCCCATTTTATGAATTGGGTCTTGAGTAAGAATAGGAATAATTACTGCATTATTATCTTTATATATGTATAAAAAATAGAGAAATAATATAATATAAAAATGAACGTAATAATAAGATAAAAGTAAACAATGAGCAGCAAGAAAAATGAATTTTTTTAAATGACAAAGTCAGCAATTTTTTGTAATGATCGCAGGGCCTTAAATTACGGCGCCATCGGCATGGTGCTTGGGCATGAATTAACTCATGGATTCGACAATAGCGGTCGACATTTCGACGGCGATGGAAATCTCCGGCAATGGTGGACCAACGAGACCATCTCGGAGTACTCGGACAGAACTCAGTGCTTCATAGATCACTACGATACATATTACGAGAATGAGGTAAGTTCACTAACATTTTTGTAAGACCTTTAATATTTGAAAAATTAATTATATAAAACTCGATTTTCGGAGAGATACATAAAAGAAGTTGCGGAACAATTGGTTTAAATATGAAATAAACAGATATTTCAAAAAACTATTTAATTTTTATGTTTATTAAAAAATATTCATAATTTTATTAAATTAT